TTTATGATCATCATTTAAAACAATGTCGTTGATACTCCCGTCTGTTTTCAAGAGTAGAAATACCAGCGATGTTAAGAGCCTCGTCGTAAGACAATTCATAGAATATTATTTTCATTGCTCGCTTCTGTATACGTTCAATGTTTTTTGCAAGATTTCGTGGCAGGGAACTATGGAATAATTGGCACGCATATTCGAGGACAGACTTTATACAGCTGCAAAAAAATTTGACCAAATCTGCCGAAGCGACATCAGCACGTTTGAGTTGCCTCAACAAATATAAACGTTTAGCTGCTTTGGAGACAATTGAATTTACATGGTCTATCCATTTAAGGTCATTTCTTAATATAACTCCAAGCGATTTGATACTTGTCACTCTTTCCAAATTTCGGTCACCAATACGTATAGGTTAAAAAACAGGTGGTAATCGTGAAAAGGATATTACCATTTCTTTGCATTTAAATGGGTTTAGTTGAAAGGAATTGTCCGTAGACCAAGTAGTAATATCATCGATATCCATTTGTAAAGTATTTTGTTCGTTTTTTTCAACAATTTCAGAGACCGTAGTATCGTCGGCAAATTTCCACATTTCTGAAAGGTGATTATGTAACACAAGGTCATTTATCATGGCTAAGAATAGCCAAGGCCCAAGTCGTGTGCCTTGAGGGACACCAGCTGGAACTTTGAGCCAGTCTGAGAAACAATTATCACTTAGTTTGACCCTTTGCCATCTATTACGTAAAAAGTCAATAATCCAGTTAACCACACAGGGCTTAATACCAAGGCTGAATAATTTCGCAACTAATGTGGTGTGATCCACCATGTCAAATGCTTTTTTTATAGTCAAGAAATACAGTGCGAACAGATGAACCACTTCCATCTGTTGCACTCGACCAACAATGGAGCATCGATATCAAGGCAAGTACAGTGGAAGAATTTGGAATAAAGCCAAATTGTTGGGGATCAACAACCTTTAACAGAGTTGGTTTTACTTCTCTTTCGATTACAAGACGTTCCGCTATCTTTGATAGAGTGGAAGTTAAGGAAATAGGTCGTAATTCCCTTTCCAAGAATAAATTGATATTGTTGGATTTATTGTCGTCGCAAAGTTCATAAGACTTAGAAGAGGGATATTCCAAATACGAGAAAGCCTCCTTGGCCAGCGCGTGTCGCTATGTCTGGTCAAGGAAGGCAACGAGCGTAAAGATTATGAAGATGCAGACATACATTTTTGTTCGTTCTCACCCGCGAACGTAACACTATAAATTTAGTACACGCAACACCTGTTTTCGGCATACTCTATAGGCTTGTGGCTATAAAGTACTTCAGTTTTGGGCATACCTAATAGCCAAGGTTGGTGGCTATAAAGTACACCTGTTTTGGGCATATCTTATAGCCAAGGTTTGTGGCAATTGCTGAATGCCACCGTGATCTCAAAATCTGGGTATAAACAAGTGTTCGTCAAATGTGTTTATTGAAGAGCTAAAAACATGAAGAACTCACCAAGCGATCTTCCTCCATAACAGGACTGGGATAACTAGTGAACGTCGTGAAAGGGACTGGAATGATATGAATGCCACACAGAGCACGTGGTTCAGGATAGCGCCATGTCATTGTAGGTAGACTCTCGTCACTAAACACAATCTCGTAAGGATTGGGACGAGTGTCGGAAGCTAGAATAAAAAGAACACTTGCTTATAAAGTAAACTAACAATAATCAGTTTTAACAGTTATGCCTAGAGGTCAAACAAGGAAGAACTACTACACTAACATTATATATAATGGATAGCTCTATTAGTTCTAAACTGTTCTTCTTAGAGATCTAGTATGAACCATACACCTACAGAGGAAACCTAAACTAAACTAACTTTATTTATACTGGATAGCTCTCAGTTCTAAACTGTTCTTCCTAGAGGTCCAGTAAGAATCATCTCTTATTGAACCAGTGTTATTACAGGAGGAAACCTAAACTAAACTAACTTTATTTATACTGGATAGCCCTCAGTTCTAAACTGTTCTTCCTAGAGGTTCTGTAAGGATCATCTCTTATTGATCCAGTGTTACTACAGGAGGAAACCTAAACTAACTTTATTTATACTGGATAGCTCTCAGTTCTAAACTGTTCTTCCTAGAGGTCCAGTGAGGATCATCTCTTATTGATCCAGTGTTATTACAGGAGGAAACCTAAACTAAACTAACTTTATTTATACTGGATAGCTCTATCAGTTCCACACTGTTCTCTCTAGAGGTCCAGTACAAGCCATTCTTATTGATCCAATATTACTACAGGAGGAAAACTACATTATTTTTAGCATAAAATATAAACGAAAGGTTGTTCAAGCAGCAATAATAATCTTCTTGATCTAAGAGATCTTCTCGCTGGGATAATGTAATCATACCTGCCGACGTAACGTATTTAAATGGACCTGTTCGCAGGTCGTCGTCAGAACGGTGAAAGGTTGACGTGGGGTCTGGAAGCGAGGCACTGTTAGCGTCAATATCGTCGGCATTTCCTCCAAAATGAGTGTTTATAAATGCCATAACGTTCTGGGTAAATGCATTCATACATCTGAGATGTTGTTGACCAAAGTTAACTTGAAGTAAGCCTAAATCCAACCAGACAAAGATTTCTTTCACAGCTGATACACTGAAACACAATAACACAATTTTAAAACTTCACGTCTGGGTATGGGTATGGGTATGGGTATGGGTATGAAATAGTGGATAAATAACAATCCAACAACTTTTAATACGGACATTTCCCCCAAGGACATCTCTCTAATACGGACACCTCTAACACAGATTCTCTCAAACTCAGACACCTATCTAATACGGACACCTCTCTAATAAGGACATCTCTCTAATGCAGACATCTCTTTATTACAGACATCTCCCTAATACGGACACCTCTCTAATACGGACATCTCTCTAATACGGACACTTCTCTAATACGGACACCTCTTTAATACAGACACCTCTCTAATACGGACATCTCTCTAATACGGACATCTCTCTAATACGGACATCTCTCTAATACGGACACCTCTCTAATACAGACACCTCTCTAATACGGACACCTCTCTAATACAGACATCTCTCTAATACGGACACTTCTCTAATACGGACATCTCTCTAATACAGACACCTCTCTAATACAGACATCTCTCTAATACGGACACTTCTCTAATACAGACATCTCTCTAATACAGACATCTCTCTAACACAGACACCTCTCTAATACAGACACTTCTCTAATACAGACACCTCTCTAATACGGACACCTCTCTAATACGGACATCTCTCTAATACAGACATCTCTCTAATACGGACACCTCTCTAATATGGCCACCTCTTTAATACGAACACCTCTTTAATACAGACACCTCCCTAATACGGACACCTCTCTAATACGGACACTTCTCTAATACGGACACTTCTCTAATACGGACATCTCTCTAATACAGACATCTCTCTAATACGGACACCTCTCTAATACGGACACCTCTCTAATACAGACATCTCTCTAATACAGACATCTCTCTAATACAGACATCTCTCTAAAACAGACATCTCTCTAATACAGACATTTCTCTAATACGGACATCTCTCTAATACGGACATCTTTCTAATACAGACATCTCTCTAATACAGACCCTCTCTAATACGTTACAGTGCCGTTTCGACTGTATATATGTTATGCTTACCAGTACGTATCTTGAGAAATTGATGGTGAACTACAGAACAATTCCAAATCAATGGATGCATCATACGGAAGTAGGAAAGAAAGTAGTTTATCATCAATACTTGTTGATATAGTGATGGCACAAAGATGAAGGTTTGCCGCAATACGTTGACAAAAATCTAAAAAAATACAAGTCGAAAATCTGTGATGAAATGTTGATCATTACTGATCTAGCTTGTAGGTTTTCTGTTGGTAGTTATACTGTACTGTTAAACACTTAGGTAACAGTAGTACAAACTTTGTAAGTTCTTTAGAATAATGAAACAACTATACCTTATCAATCGGCAAGAGAAGAATCGTTTGTACTGTATGTTACGTACTGTAACACGCGCTCAAAACTAGTGAATATATTTTTCCAGTATTTGGTTATGACTAATATTCAATTTTTTAAAATTTTTGATACGTAAGTTCAGTACGTTTTGCTTATATTGCTGTATAAATATGGCGTCAATTTTACAGCGTCAATGATAATTGTGTTTAGATTGATAATATTTAACTATTATTTTGTGTTTCTCAACCGCCAGATACATTTAAAAAGGTTGCTAACTGTGTAAACTACAAAATAAAGCTAAAACAAAGTAATTTTGAGAGAAACGTCAAAAATATTTTAGGTTTTTAACATTTTCATGGCAAATCTGCGACATTGAAAAAAAAAGCCTTTTAAACAAAATTTCAAAAATCATTAATAATTCATGAGGAAAACACAATGAAAAACCATAAGCGTGTCGTATCTTCATATGTGATAGAGATTTCCCTTGATTTACATACTTGATTACAAACTTTAACTTTGATTTTCTCGACTTACAGAACGTATTTTTTGAAAATTACTTCGCCAATGAACTTACTAGATCGATCGTTTTTGAAGCAATTTAAAACATTCGCAGTGCGTGTTTTATCAGGCCTAAATATACTTGGCTTCGCCTCGTATAAAACACTGCTGCTCATGTTGTAAATAGTTCATAAAATCTTTGCCCATACACTATTACCTTCGCGTTCATCAGCTTTGAGGCTGACACCAAGATTCATAGACGAACATGACACTTTAACTACGGGATCGATCTCCATGTCCTGACCAGCAGTCGCGGTAATTGCAACATAATCTGTTGATATTGCCACAGAACGAACAATATTCATCAGGTCGGATTCTGAACTAGTTTGGTGCTCATTGTCCAGTTTCGTTTCCTGCATATTGAGATCAGTGGTGAAGTCTTTTAGTCTTTCTAACAGTCCTAAGTCAACATCAATCCAGATCGGTCTGCCAAAGTCTAACTTGAGGTCAGCTAGAAACAATAAAATATCAAGTTTGTTAGACTCCACATTTTTCTCAATGGTTAAGAAACACAATTTTTTTTACAATTTCGAGTGTCAATTTTGAACTTTTATTATAGATCTAACCAGTATATCAACTGGGAGTTTAGAAATTGAAAGAACGGAAACGATTTCTGAATGAATTTTGCAAAATAATCACCAGGTGAAGATGGATATAGCTTGCATGTGAAGTTCACGAATGCAGGTGTGAGCTCAGTATGTTTGTCTGGACTGCCATCTCCAGTACGAAACCAAATGACATCATAGTCCTGTGCCGAGGGCACCAGTTGAGTGTTATCTATAACAGAGGAAACCTTTTGTTACATATTTCGTTGTTTAGGGGGACTAACACAACCCTTGAAAAACAAAATTTTGTGTGAGAAAAAGGTTGGGTAAATGCAAAAACAAAACAACTCAAGGGTTGGGTAATAAAAATGGGACTATGTTGATCATTTTCCAATTTGTCAGGAGTATTGTCTCCAAAGAAAGTACATGTGCAGCATGAAAATTTTGACTGCATAAAATTGCACAAGCAGTTATCAAACTCATGTCACAGAAGTGGTAAAGGATGTGTGTGGCAACTGAATGGTATCCTTTCTTAAGGTTTTTGACCAGGGGTGGGTTTTAATTTGCTCGTACGATTACAATGCATTCTAAACCTTTCGCAGTCGAACTAATAATTAGTTTTCTGCATTACAAATAACTTTGTGTTATTCTAATTTCTATCAACGCGGTTAATTAGAATGTATTTTCAAATCCCAGGATAAGTAGCACAGACATTGAAATGCTAGTAAGCAGCAGAATGGTCAACTTGCATGTTAGACTAAATTCTAATCTAGGTAAAGAGAAGGAAATGAAACACAACAGTTAAAAAGAACATAATGAAATTAGTAAAGTTGCAAAATTTGGTTGCGAAATGTTGTAAAATACAGAAAATATAGCCTTGCAAAGTTTGCATATTTTCAGTATATTTGTGTTACGTGCGGAAATTGTTACCATTTCCGGCTCAAAAATGGTAACAATTTCCGCACGTAATACAAACATACTGAAAATACGCAAAACAAAATTTTGCAATTTTACTGATTTTAGTACGTTCTTTACGGGAATTTACTTTTTCCCCCCTAAATAAAAAATTAGTCTAACATGCAAGTTGTCTATTGTATGCAAATTATAGTGTTGCAGGTTTTTTTATACACTCTGTATTTCCAGGACTGAGCATTTCCCGGAGGGTGTATTGGGTTAAATATAAGAAAGCAACTTGGCTTTAACTAGAATGCACAACCAACAAAGACACGAACCTGCACTCCTCGTGTTGGACTTGCATTTAGCCAGAGATATATCAAAACATGAAATTTGAATCGTATCACTGTCTGCACGCCTTGTACAATTAAACGCTGGTTGTATAAGGGACACACGTACTACTGGAACTAGCCGATTCCACGCCTTCCCCATCTTAGAATGTTCGTAGACAAACATAGATAACCCCCCGGCAGTGACGAGACATTCCATTTCTTGAACATCGGGCTTACTGTCACGTGACTTAATCACGTGGCGGTTTTTATGGGAGAATTCACTGCCAATACCGCTGTCCAGTTTCTCCTCGGGCGCAGCTACTTGTGGCAGATGGGAAGGAGCGGTTCGAGTGTCAGTTGTTGTTACGTCAATGGTGACGTCATCGTTGGACAAACCGCTGTTCATAATGTTTTCTTTGAGAATAGTTTGCATGAGCTGAACCTAGGTACAAAATCAAATAATGTATATTATTTAAAGGATATCGAAGGTAAAACTTAAGTTGATGAGATCTACTTGTCATGAAATAATGTAACCAAACACAGACAAACGCAGATAAAAAAATATTAAAGCCGGTTTTCCACTTGTGTATTTTTTCGCGCGAATTTTTTATTTGTCTTTGGTCTCTCAACTGGAAGCATCTGCAACTAATTGGACAAAGACAAATGCAAAATTCGCTTCGCGCGAAAAAATTCGCAAGTGAAAAACCGGTTTAACCCAGGACAAACACTTATTGTGCATTTTTAACATGCTCTTTCTAGCTGTGGTGATGGATTTTGGTCTTCTTGCCGAGATCAAAATTTAGTCTATAGCTAAACTATTTGCATAGGGGTGTATGCGCTTTAAAGTGAGGTGCTGGTGTACAATTTACCTGAGTTTTACTGATGAAACACTCCACATCAGTGGTAAGGTTGACTTCAAATGATAAACCAAAGATAGGTTTATTCCAACGTTGTGATTTGCTTGACGTCGTGCGTGAGATAGGTGGCGCAACGATGCATTTTATATCCAAGTCAGAGACCACTGGTGTTACCAAGGCACTCGAACGATCTTGGCTAAAGTAAATTGAAAAAGGAGTTATAATTGTCACCAGACTGTAAAGGTTTGAGTTTATCGAGTTCCTCGCTCATTGGTGAGCGGATTTTCCAACAGGCTATTGGCCATGATATTTGCTGTGT